CCCTTGATATTGGACTTGGAGGCCAGATCAGCAGGATTAAAGCCTATGCTCCTCATCATTTCCTCTGTGCATTCGTGGGGAGAAAGAGCCAGGAACTAGTACTTCTCATGTAGCCGCTGAAAGAGATACCCTACGCTAGACACTCCACCTATGGGGCCTTATGTTTTCAGTAGCCGAGTTGGGTGTTATTTGTGTCATTTGTGGTTGGCTCAGAAAGGGTAAATAATCTACCCAGATTCCTGCAAATAAATAATTAAAGACTGGGGCTTACATCTGGATTCTGGCAACTGAACCACTGCCATCACACCCCCTCCCCAAGTGTGCAGCCAGTCTCAGGGCCTTGGCTTTGGAATTTAGAGGAAGAATAAAAACTGAGTAAGTGTAAGAACTCTCGATTCAGAGGGTCTGGGTTGAAGCCCCAGATCTTGTTGTGTGGCATGGTGCGAAGGACTTAGTTAATTCTAGCTCACTGTCCTCATGTGTAAAGTGAGAATAAAATACTTCGTAGTGAATATTAAGAGAATTAAACAAAACCCACTCACAGGACACTCAACGCCTTCTGTAACAGGAGCCTCTCAGGGTTAGTTCATGTTATTAACTACCAGCAAACACAAAGATCTAAAAAGACCTCCCAAAGCTACATGATACTGTATTTTCCTAAGTTAGTAGAAACAAAGACCACAGAAATGGATGAAGTTCATTGATGAAAGCTCATTGTTGAAAGCTCTGAAAGGCTTCGTTCAGAGCCCCTGACTACACTCCTAATTTATAGCCCTCCCATTCCCAAGCCAGAATTTACTGTGTGAAGATGAGACCTGTGAAATCATGGACTGACATGATTAGTGACAGTTGTCACTAAGTCTATTTTACAAGATCCAAACATTATGAGATTTCTACCTGAAGCCAGGGGAAGTTCAAAAGTTAAGTTGATCGATCAGGAGGGGAAAAAAATGTTAGAGTATAACATAAAGGCAAACATAGAAAAACTTACCATTTTCATCTCTCAGAAAAGCTTTTGTGGAGTTAATGGCAGTGAGCTCTGAAAGAAATGAAAGCAAGTATTATTCAATTATTCATATCCATTATTTGACATGGTCTATGTTGTGGATAGTTGTGGAATGATAGTTGTGGAAAGATAGGTAGATTAGGAAGATAGATAGATAGATAGATACATACATACATACATACATACAAACATACATACATACATACATAGAATCTGTCAACAAACTGGGAAGAGCCTTTATAAGTAGGAGCCCCACAATTCCAGAAATGTTGATCTGATACTTTGTAATTCAGTGGATCAATTCATATATTGTATTTCTGCACAGAAAGATGTTGAAGTTCATGAATTTTTTTTTCTCCTCACAACTGGAGGGTAATGTGGAAGACTATCTTGTTTTCCCTCTGTGCTCACAGCTCCTAGCACAGCGCCTGTGGCTACGTAGGTGTTCTGTACATACTTGCTGAAAGGAAAAATAACCAGCAACAGCGGCTGCTGTAAAGTCCCGAGTCCATACCGCTCACATGAAGCTCTATCAGCAAAATGAAATCATCAAACCCGAGAATCCACAGCAGAATCATACATGTTTGAAGGAGTCTGCTTGTGTCAATTTGTCACTACACTGAAGGAAGAAGCCTTATCTTTCCAAATCCTACACTTCCCAGTAACCAAACTCCAGCACATGATTTTCTGAAGTGGACGTGTTTGTGGACATGACACCAATGCTAATAAAAGCTGATACCTAAAAATGATTATTACTGTCCCCAGCACTCGGGGAGAGTTCACATGCATTATCTCATCTGATCCTGGTGACACTGGCATGAGCTGAATTTGGAAGACTCCATGTTACACACAAGCAAATATGAGTCAGATTCTAGGTACCTTGTTGTGCATCACACCAGACACGGGCAGAGCCAGCACCCAGGGATGGATGTAGGGGTTAAGACGAGCTACAGCCTGTGCAAAGTCCCTTGTACCGCAATCCACATACAAACTGAACCTAGAGCACCAGTGTGGACTCTCAGACATCAAGTCTCCCAGGCATATGCATTACTCTTAGCAAATGACCATTTTGATACAGAGGCTCAGGATCCCAGTGCACTTCTTTGCTGGGACAGGAACTTGCAGGCCAACACGTTCATAGCTGTCTGAATATATAAAACCTACGGTGACAGTTGTATTTATCTACCATGAAAACAAACAAAACAAATGGAAATAAAAGAACACCCAACATACATACAAAGACAAAATTCCTTACAAAGATCATTGACCGGGGGACACAGAGAGTCGCGAGGTTGGTTTGATTTATCCTTTTTCTGCTCAGTGTGTCCCTGTCTCCACACACGGTTCTGGCGTGCCATTTTAGGCATTCCACACAGTCTGATTTTGTGCACTCTTAGAGAAATGGGTTTCCGGTTTAAACTTTTAGGTAAACCCCAAGAAAAAAAATGTTAGTATCATTATGAGAAATATTAAAATATTCCCAAGAGCTGACTTAAATGTCCCTTACATTTCCCTACAGGGACTTTACTCATTGATACTAATAGACAGCAGTATTGTACCTAACTGAAATTAAAATAAAAACTTTTAAAAAAGGTAAACAAATATCTTTTATCATCCATTGATTAAAGGTAACATTTTTTCATAAAAAATTTGTTTATGTCTTAGGTGCTCTTTCTCAATCGTGGCTGGTCAGACTCAGACAAGATGATCTTTATCTCTCTTCAGTATCTCATCAATTTTTCTCCTTTTTCATGTATATATCTATATCTATATCCATATCTATATCTATATTGATATCTATCTATATCTATATCCACACACATATACAAGCTTTTATCATAAACAGAACAATAAAAAACTTACATGAAGCAGCACTAGAAATCTGTTATAGAATTACATTAACAGAAATGCCCCATTAACTTTGTTGTTTAAAGAAGACCTCGGGAAACATTCACTGCAGAAATAAGTGCCAAGTGAGACATGTCATAACCAGGAACTTCCCCCTTACCCTCGTCATCACTAAGGAACTTATTACACTTTTGACTTTTCTCTGATCACTAGAAAAAGGAAAACCTAAAGCACACTTCAGCCCAGTATTTCTATTAAATTTAAGGTTTGCTCATTTGTTTCCTCTCTGTGTCTTAGCTGTAAACATGAAAAATTAGAGCAGTCTGGGTAATGTCATTTTAGTTACTTTTGGGAAGGGATATACATAAATAGAGTAAATGTAGGAATAAATTCATCCATGCTGTTTTCAACAGCAAGCATTGTCACTGACATCATTTTGTGTGCTCTCATCACAGCCCAGGTGAAAGCAGAGGTGATTGCTTGACCCTGATTTGATCACTGGCCAAACTAAAAACCTGGGAAGTAACTAAAATTCAACAGAGTACATTTGAAAGATTTAATTGGCTGTGGAACAGATCTGTGTATGAATCAGGGAGCTTCTTGTCCAGCAAGTAGAGGGGAGCTCCAAAGGGCCACAAGGAAAGAAGATTTTCGAGATGGGAAGGGAGGGAAAAAGAAGTTATTAGCAAGGAATCCATTGCTTTAGGCTAGGTGACCCACCTCAAGGGGAACAGAGGAGTCAACCAGTAAACTTTCTATTGCCGACCAGGACATTCCATGTCCACTGGTCAAAGGCTACTGTACTAGCTGTTGAAACTGCAGTTGGGTAGGTAAGGAGTCTCGGTTGATGGACTTGGGGCCTTCAGCTAAGTGAGTCCATCTTGAGTCTGTGGTTTTCTTTTTAACAGCCCAGCCTTTTGATCAGACCCCCAGCCTAACTGAGGATTGAGACCAAAAATGGTGGGCATTAACATCACTCTGAGCAGCTGCTCTGAGGGTCTCAGTTTTTGTTTCTGCTCTTGTGATATTCACGGGCCTTGACCTTTTGGGTTAACCCCAAAGGGTGGATCGTTCTCTTTGTTCTTTTGAGATATTCCAGTCTTAGAGAGACCATTTGTCTGTTTCTGAACTTACATTTAAAGCTTTAAAGAGAACATAAACACCAGGAATATGATGATGCTTACTAGACACAAGACACTTCCAATGTTTGAAGTGCAATTTGAGGCCATGGTCCCCAAGATGCAAAGCAATTAAAATCAAATAATGAAGAAAGACTCTGCTGAAGCTGTCACACTTTTTAGCCAAGTGGCTTGCTCAGTGATCTGGTGTCTTGGAGTTTTAGTCTCCCCAGGTCTGTTAGTCTGGGTCTCGAGAATGGTCTTGCTTAGAGCTCAGACCCAGCCTGGCTCAGCTAAGAGATAATCAAGGGCTATCTTATTTTCAAGGATTACTTTGGCCAGAGTCTACGGATATTTGATGGTCAGCCATTGCGTTAGTAAGAGATTCTGCAACAATTTTCAGAATGAAGGAGAAGGTCTTGATCAAACCTCATTTACGCTGATCCCTAGCTAGGGAAGTAGGGTCCGACCAAAGGAGTGAATCCTGCTCATGAAAGCTTCATCTTAGGTCCCTTCGAACTCAGGGTGTAAACTGAAGGGAGGAAATCAATGAGATGTCTTATTTAGGTTTAGCAAAGTTACAAACAAGGGTAGATTTTCTCCGAGTCTGAAATTAAAGCTTGCTACAATTCCGAAAGTTACCCTGTTGGCTGTGACCTGGGAGACACAGGTGATGGAGTCATCTCTCCGGGCCATTCGCTGGAAAGAAAAGAAGGAGCAAAGGTTTCATGTTTAGTTAAAGTGTGAGATCTTGATCCCTTGTCTTGGGCATAAGCACTCTCCCTGCCTGTCAACTACTTCACTTTCTCTCCATTTGAGTCAGAAACGTCCAGTGTCTGTCAGGACCCGGGGGCTGGTGGAAGCTGTCGCCATGGGATGTGCACCTGAGCCTCATTACCTTTAGTGTTACAGCAGGGGCACTCGGGAAAAACAAAACCCAAGAAAATGGGGTTTGCCCGGGAGCCGCGAGGAACCAAGTGGCTGTCTTGATGTTCCCTCAGCCCAGGCTCTTTCTCGAACACACTGCCATTGTTGACACACCTTGATTTCTCTGAGTCAGAAGCAGACTCCTGCCATGTTCAAGGACATCAGGACAGCAAATGTCTGGCAGAACTCGGATTGACTTTATCCACATGTGCCATACACTGTATTTGTAAGAAATCCTAAGTGTGTATTTTTATTTGACAATACTTCCCACATAATTTAACACATCAAAGGAACCAAATTAATTTGGCATAGCCTTTGGAATGTACCAGGTCAATGAGACTCAAACACTAAAGAAAACAAACAAAATAATAAACAAACAAATAAACAAACCCAAAAAACCTCTTGCCCTTATGACAGAGAGAAGCCAAATCCTAATGCTACACCTGCTTGCTTTTGATTTGAAAATCCTTCATCTCAATCTCAGTCAGTCCTGACCACACATAACATCCCTTTCCAAACACCGCACCGGCCTCTCTGGTTGGCAGTCACAGCAAGGAAATGGCAGTGTTTGCACAACTGCTGCCATGAGGAACGAAATCTGGTACCTCTGTCTGCTACTACTGGCTCATGTTGGAAACGAGTCTGCTGGTATTGACCAGGCCTCACAGTATTCCATATCAGACCAATATTCCAAACACAGGTACCTCATAAGGAAACACATATACCTGCCTTTACAAAAGAGATTTTAGATGAAAGTTCTGTGGATGATTGTAAAAAGCCTCTTCCTATGGACCTTGCATATCAAAGACAATTGAGTCTGGCCCTGAGACAAAGAGCCTAATTTAGAGTTAAGAGCAAATATCCACCCCCACCCATTTGTTTCTGCTTAGAGCATTTTCTGGCCTTGTATATGCTGAATGCTCCCTGTGAAGGAACCTTTTGAGGAACTTCTTCTTTTGTGATTATGACAGCAGAGGTGTTCCCTGAAAGACATGTTTTTCTTGATACTTCCACCTTAAACAAACAAGCTGTTGACCCCTGCCCACAGAGAAGTAACTTCACCCCTTTTATGCTGAAAACTTTGTCTGGTGTGCTAAAGACGCTTCCCTTCCCCTTAGGATAGGCATCTAAATCCCCTACCTCAATCACTATTGTAAACATTATGCATGAGTCTTCTACATATCTATGTTCTGGGAGATTCTTACAGATCGAAGACGTTTGTTATCAGAAACCTTGTCGAAGGCAAATGCCACTTCTGTGCCATCCACCAAACACTTATGATAAAATAAAGTTGAGACCCAGTCAGAGCAGAGATGCCTGCCTGGTGATCACAAAGAATCTCGGGGCCTCTCTCACTCTCCCTCGCTGGCACCGTCCATCGTTCATGGACCCCTGGACCTGTCTGAGCTGGCCTCCAAACTAGAGTGAGTCCTCAAATGAAAAATTGCAGAGCCCGAGGAGTTGTGTCCATCTTACAGACTTCTGCTGTAAGTGCCCTTTCCATCTTTACTTTGTCACTAGCTTTTTGCAGTGAATCTTTCAGTGAAATGGCCTTGAAATTTTACAACCTTTAGGAAGCTTCTGCTTGCTAATTAAACTGAGGTGTCCTACTGTCTTTGTAAAACCATTGCACTGCAGTGCACTTCCTACATGGCCTTATCTAATTGGAAATCATATCTTTAACATCTGGGACCCTAGTTCTTAGATGAAGAATAAGCAGGTGTACTGGAAGGCGGTGGGCCTGACCCTATAGAATTTAAGGACCCAATCAGCTAAGACCTGGAGCCAAACTAACACCTAAAAGGGATAGGACCCAGGCTGGGAACCGTGTGTGTTTACAGTATGATCCTTGCACAGAGGATTTCTGGAGATTGATGGGTCACCTAGTGCTGATCCAACCCATTCCCTCACCAACTTATACCATCAAGGGAGTGTTCTTGAGGTAGTGAGCATTCTAACAGCCTTCAAATGTGTGACCTGCGCCCTCCAATTTTTGTCGCTTTCTCTACCTCTGAGATCCCTGTTAGCAGTAGCCTTTCCCTAAATGAATGAAGAGAAACAGTTATGTGCACATTAGCGTATGGGCGGTAAGACACGTGACTGTGTTCAGGACACAACACTAGTCTGTGTGCGCCACCAACAATTCCCCCAAAAACTTGCTGAGTTTTCTACAAAGGCACGTGTGATCTACAGATTCGGGGCTTGGCTCCAGGCACAAATTTCTGCCAGTTCAGCTGGGCTCTGGTCAAATATGCCAGCTCAGCGGGGTTCAAGAGAAACATGCCAGCTCAACTGGCTTCTGGGCATGAGCCTCGGCAGCCAGAGCTGACCTGTCCTGGAAAGGAAGGCCCATTAGATCAGCAGCCCGAAGGCAAGGGGAGGGGTTTAGACCAAGAGGAACTCACCCGCAGCCCAGGTCACCGGTGAGGAGGACAGAGAACCCACAGGGCTCACAGTTACCACCCCAGTGTTTCGCCTTGTGTCTGAACGCCCCTGGGGGTCCACTACCGATTGTTTCGCCTCCGCCAAACCTGTTAAAGAGCAAAAATTCAACCAAGTAAACGTTAAAGATCCAATGGCTGTAGCAATCAATCACTCTATGAATCAGAGAGCATTCCATCTAGCACGTGGGCCAGAGCTCCAAAGGAGGACAGGAAAGGAATAATTTGTACAGTAGAGAGGAGGTGGGAAAGGGAAATTATTAGCAACGGATCCACTGATTTAGTCAAGGTCACTTTCATGGGAAAGGAAGGGGTCAATTAGGAATGTACTTCGTGCTGACTAGGAGTTTCCCTCGTTGATAGGTTAAAGGTTACTCTTCCTGGGCATTGAAACTGCACTTGGGTTAGGTATTAAGTCTACGTAGCAAAGCCCTTCACGTCACTTGCTATGTGTTCATGTCCTACTGCCTAAAACGCGCTTGTTAACCACAGAGAAAGTACAAACTGGTTCCTTCTTATAGGCCTTCTGGGGCCTTGGTCTTTGACGTTAATGCTCAGGACTTGACTTGTGAGTCTACTGAGTTACTGGCTTACAGCCGGGGAGGAGCACATTCAGCTCTGCCTGCACTTATGACCCGAGTCTGCACCAGTGGGGCTCCTCCAGGACATCAGGCCTGAGTCTCCAGGGACCCTGAGTGATCAGGAAAAGTGTATTCACTCTACTGTAGTGATGCTCCTTGGGACACGGGTCCCCCTGCCTCCCTCCCAGGCCAGGCGCAAGCTCCTACTGCAATAGGTGTTTGAGGGACGGCATTGACCAGTGGTAGAAATACACCTACGGTGGACAATGAAAGGATGTTTGTACACATAACCTCACTCGTGTCTACTTACCAAAGTTCACCTTACAGTCTTATATAAAATTCAAGTCTGAAACACACAATATCATACTACAAACTCAGCTGCCCAACTACCATTGAATTGCTAACCAGTTCCATCAAATGGACAGATTTTGTACCCTATAACTCCTGTTTAAGGGTGACTTTGAGCTGACCAGATTAGAGTGAAGGGATATTGAATTTCAGTAGAACATTCCCACAAGATGTACAATTGTTCTTATTTTCTTATCAAGTAAGATCATCGAAAGCGACTCTCTTTTTGAGCATTTGTTGTGCCTGAGGCTGCTAGGTGCTTTCTTCCTATTGATGAAACAAAACGCTAAAAACCTCATTGTGACCTTCATATTTTGGACGATGAAACTGAGGTAATAAAGGCTAAGTGACTTGTTCTTTGGCTCTTCCTGTGCATGTTCTAAAGCCCAAACTACTTTAATTCTATGGGGAAATAACAGGACATTTATGCAACCATTTAAAGTAACTACATTAAAGAATGATTTCTATTTGCTTGTCTCCCATTAATTTCTGATAGCCACAGTGAGCTATTTCCTTTGAAACAAAGGGTTCTGAAGGGTTATAATCATGTGTATATGCACATACCTTTGTTTATTGAAGGAAAAAGTATCTCTTGAGCAACCCCTCCTCTATTCCTCTCGTGTTTGACGATACATTTATGTTCTTTATCCATTGACATTTTAGGTACGGTCAGCCAAGTGTATTTCATGTATGTGTCCTTAGTTTTCACGGTGTTTCCATGCTGGGATTGCAGAACTGTTTTGCCATTCTTTTCTTTCCAATCTATCGTGATAACATCGGGGAAGAAATCCTCAAGAAGACAAAGATACGTTCCAGCGTCATGGAGTTTTACTTCAGTAGTTGAAGGGAAAAAAATGGTAGGCTTGGGGGAAATGTCTTCATCCGGATTTTTATCTGTGGGAGAAAGGCAAGAGCAATGAAAACATTCTTAGAGAAACAAAAACATTGTATGGTTTGGAACCGCCTAGGACATACTTAAAAGGAAAGAAATGTTGCCTTAGAATTAGTGCTATGATGACCACTCATCCACAGTGGGTTACAAGGTGCTTATTGTCATACTATCTATGGGTTCAAGTGGTTACGTAGATTGTTCAAGGTCTCAGCTAGTAAGTGGCAGAAGCTAGATTAATGTGGAGGTTGTTGACACAATACCCAGTCATTTATTGAAAGAAAATTTGTTTCCACTGGTACTTGACAAACACTCATGCTTATGCTTCACATACATTGAAAGACAGAATAAATGAAAAGGATGCTTTCATTTGGTAAGTGGGTAAATTGTCTCTTCCAATAGAATGTCCAGGGACGTCATCATCTGGGAATCCCCAAACAGATGCTCAGACCCTGTGATGACTCAAAAAATTTGCTCGTAAGTATACATTTTAGATGCATGTGAAGACTTTGATTAAAATTTTTAACGAAATATGAGGTAAGAAATAAGCAGTACTCCTCAAATGATATTTGTAATGATAGAATTTTTAATCTGTAGGTATAATCCTATGTAGGACCAGAATGCTGGTTTTCAGTTTATGAGTTCATTTTTGCCCCTGATCACAACCACTAAGGAAAACAAAAGATATCATTACATTTCATGATTCCAATGTCTCATCAGCATTGTGAAATAATTTGACTTGTTGTTGACTAGACCTAGCCATCTAGAAACATCCCCGGGAGGTATTCTCCCTCCTCCAGGCAAAATTTCATCTCTAAGGCTAATGAAGAACGAGCACATTTACTAGCATGAATTTAGAAACAAACAAACAAACCCAGCTCATGACATTATGGATACGTTTGCACAGTAAGTGTGTCCATACCTGGTATGAATCACCTTCTGACAAAATGATGAGTTTAGCAATTTTTTGTTCATTCTTTTCCATTGGTTGGTTTTAAATCAAATGAATAAGATACACAGATTTCTCTACAAACCTTTCATCACAGAAATCGCACAGGGACCTGACATCCCCACCCCTCAGGGACCCCCAGCTGCTCTAGCAAGTTAGCTCCTTGTCGGTGTCGTCCATGAGAGCTCAGGCAGCAACTACCCCCAAGGACCGGGACACAGCCATCTACTTCTCCAAAGATCCCACTGCCATTTGTGACCAAACTGGGACCGAATCCTAGAATTCTGAGGCAGCACCGGCACCTAGCCTGCTGCCCCTGCATCAGCTGCCTCCCCTCCCCACGTTATACGGAACAAAGAGAGGATATTTACCTGTGACCCTGAGCAGCGTGCCAGGACCGAACACTTTGTGGGCCCACCAGACATACGCGTTGTACTGACTACTCCACTCCTTTCCACTGTCTGAAAAGCTTTTACAGAAACCTGCTTTTGTGCAGCCTCTTAAAATTGTGCCCATAGTTTTTCAATATTTATATCAATATATAAAAATGGGCTCAGCTACCATTAAGTGAAGATGAATCTCAAGCAAAATCACATTAGAGATGAACACAGTCAAGAATGGATGAACTGACCCCTCTCTGCTGGGGCAACTTGGTTCTGTCTTTCCATCTTGCTTACATGCATTGAAAAGTGTGATTTCACCTTTCTCAACATTTTCTTGAATCTTCTAAATCTCTTTTCTTTAAATGTTTTCATGTATCATATCAGTTCTTTTCCTAGAGTGTAATTTACAGATACTTCTTCCATAATTTTCAAAAAGGAACAAAAATAGAAATAGTATTTTTTACTATTTAATAAGTAAATGTTCAAAACATTATAGTGTTCTTCTCTATGCCTATGTATTAAGGGTGGATAACTGGTTTGTTTATAAAGAAGTGCTTTCCAGAATCCCATTCCCACAGACAGTAGACCAGATGAGTTGTTTGATGACCACTTAACCTATCTGTTGCTGAAAGACTGGTCCTTTGAACTTGAAATTACCCTAACAGTTTCCAGGGCATTGATTTAAAATTCTGAGCTGCTCATCTCAGGATCCTATTGGGTTTGGTCTTCCTGCCGCAGCCCCGGCAGGAGCGGAAAGCAGCCGAGAGTCAGGCACTGAGTGCTGCCTATACTTCACCTGCTCCAGCTCTGCTGCCGGATTCAGTGTTTCCAGCACATTTGATGCCGATATGGAAAGAAGACTGAATGCAGTGTGGTCACTAGGGCTTGTCTTTTTATAGCAATACCCTAAGAATCACACTGTGAACATTTAGTGAATGCATATTCAACACGACTGTATCATTTAGGGGGAAGAAAGGCAATTTTAGTGCCATTAGAAGTAGAAGTATTATTTTTCACATGAGGAGTCATACACACTATGAACTACTGTTAGTCAAGCCTTCAGCTAAAGAGTTGATTTAAAATGTCAGTCTACAGAGAGTAAATATTCAGGATGAGAAACACAGCTTAACGTTTCTATTACCATATAATGGTGTAGACCATGTTCCACAAAACAAGTCTCTGTTGGCTCCCAAATTTTGCCATAGTAACCAGCCGTGTGAATTTAGGCAATTAACTGAACTTCCCTAAGGCTAAGTTTCCCCAACAGTGAAATTAAAATAAGAAGATCTCGTGTACAGAGTATTGAAGGTTGAGATCAGGCACTGAAACTAGGCAGCATGATGTCTGGCTCTTAATAAATAGTAGCTAATGTCATTATTCTCCTCACTCAGATGGTTTCGGGCCGTTTATCAAACATTCCACTAGACACAATGTATGGATTTTATAAGCAATAAGCATTACACAAATTAAGAAAGCAAAAGAACTCATGAATCCAAGACATTCTGTGTCTCTGGCAGCGACAGGCTGAAAACCAGGGGGCCCAACAGCCACCATCTAGAATATTTGTCCACTAGACTACAAGCTTTTGCAGTGTTGGGGCTATGTCTTCTGCCTCTTATCTCTAGCTCACAAATTGCATTAAACTGGACCCACCTCTAGGCAACATCCCAAGACGTGCAAAAGCACAAACTTGGATGAGTGGCAACCTACTTCTAAGAAGCTAGAGTAATAAGAATATGTTGATGATTAATGTTCTTTAGTCATTTACTGTAAGAGTTAGTTTCTAGACTGTTGTTGAAGATGGGATCTAAAGCAATCATATAGGTTTGGCAGTCATTAGAGAAAGGAGCACTTGATCAACACACTTAATTAAAGTGTTTCTTAATCAACGTGTTTCTCACTGAAAAGACTGTATACAAGAAAAACACCTTGAACTTACACAAATAGTTTACAGATATGGGCATACAAATAGTTTCATTTCAAGCCTAACCATACTTCTGTGTGTTTATTTTGTAAAACTAGAATCAATCTGATTGCAAGCAGGGAAGGAACAAAACCATTTACAAGGTAGTTTTGTTTCCATATAGAGGGACCAGTAGCTGCAAAATTGCTGTGCATCTGTTGAAGTGATCCTACATGTTTCTTTCTAAAAAGCATCTATCAGTTTTTCATTCACAGGCTCAAAACAGGACAGCCTTACTTACCAGGAAGAGTTACGATAAGCCGCGTTTCTCTTGATCCACTCTGGTTAGACGTTATCACACGGGTTAGAGGTTCCTCAAAAATGTCAGCCTTCTCCTGAGCCTCTTAGCATAACCAGCAGGTAGAGACTTATCCTGGCAGGTGATCTTCTGGATTCCCCTGGAAGTCCTTGAATATAGGCTTCATGGCATCTGACATTTTATATACTTTCCTTAGATTAATGGACCCAAATGTCTGTTTTCCATGGAGGCAGAGGTGATGGAAAATGGAAATAATGAGAGCAAATAGAAACGAAAGAAAATAGAAAGAGAGAAAAAATAAAGAGAAAAAGGAAGGAAGAAAAAAGAAAGAAAAAATGAAAGAGAGACAGAGGAAAGAAGGAAGGAAGAGAGAAAGTTAGGAAGAAAAGAAAGAAGGAAAGAAAGAAAGAAAAAAGAGATCAGGACCAAGCGGTCAACCATGACTTTTCTAAAATGACCGGGAAAGGTGTTCAGAGAATTAAGAGGTTTTGATTTCCAGGTGTTCAGGTGTGTGAAACCGCTCAGAGACGGCGTCAAAGAAACGCCCTTCCGTTCCCACAAACACCAGGCTGCTGAGTCAGAGTTTGGGATTGCATTTCTGAAAGAGGAACGGCTTCAGAAACTGAAAACGCAAACCTGCCAACAGAAATATACTTGGGACATGTGCACAGTGGCCTCCAGGTTTTACCACTTGTAGCCACTTTTACCATCTGCCAACACGAATCTGTACCAGGCAATGCAGAATGGGAAAAGAATTTCTGGGATGACACACTTTTCCTGGAATAAAAAGAGGTTTGTAGAATTCTATCTCCCATGCAAAAACAGATTCCTTATTCAAACTAAAATTTGAAAACAACCCCCATTGGCTGATGGGTAAAAGAAGAAGATTCCCGCAAGCTATGTGTTATGTTTGGAAATGCAGGTGTGGTCCTACCTCCATAATGAACTGGCTTTGTACAAGACATTGGCCATCTCTAGGCCACACGTCCCATTTGTTGTGTGGGCATTGGGCCATGTGTACGCGAAGGGCGCTTCCTGTTCCAACAGATTATGAGCCTGTGATTAAGAGGAGGTAGGATCTGCTGTAAGAAAAACAATGGAGTCTTTTACCTGATTATCAGTAATGTCCTCCAGTCTGATTGAAGCCACCTGCTATCGTGACTGCAGGGATCCTACAGTGTCACAGAGTCAAACCTGTACACAAATCTCTGTTTACTAAACTTCAATTCTTTTCTCATTTGAGCAACAACAGTAGATTCAACCAGGCACAATAGCTTCTCTCTCTCTCTCTCTCTCTGTCTCTCTCATCCTTCCATTGTAGTTTGAGTAATTTCTGGTGTCTTACATTTATCGTATCTAATTCTTTCCTTATATCTCTTAAATGCACTAGCAACACGTTCAGAGCTGTCTTCATTTCTGTTGCTGTGATTTTTGTATTCTTCCATTTCCTTTGGTTCTTTCCCATAATTTGCAGTTGGTGCTTTCCATATTTTGTGCTGAATTTTCCTCTCTGATCTTGCATTTGTCCAACTTTTCTGTTAGATTAGAGTCTTTAACATATTAATCATAGTCCTTGAAATTCTCTGATGGTGCCAACGTGTCTGTCATGTCTATCTGGTTCTGGTGACTGCTCTGTGTCCTCAGACTGTTTCTTCCTGACTTGCCGTATGCCTCTGAGTGTTTGGCTGGAAGCCGGCCATGATGTGTGGTAGAGAAGAAACTGAGGGAAATATATTTTGTGTTTGAAAATGAGCACACATTTCTTGCTTGGCCTTTAGTATGGAAGTCTGCATTAACTAGTCAGGATTTAGATTGTATTTGGAGTTGGTCATTACTAAGTTATCAGGGATGAAATGTGCTGTCAGGGTTGAGACACTTAAAAATTCTCTAGCATACTTGGTATTTCTCTCTTCACTTATCTCCGAGTCTTCACTTCGTTCTGCTCCTCAGAGAAGGTCTGTCTCACGAGGCTCTCTCGGCTCTATTCCATGGTTACTTTTCCTCAGTGTTTGCTAGCATGGGGGTGAAAGGTGAGGAAAGGACACATTCTCTGATATTTTCATTAAGTCTCAGTTTTAAGCAGATACAGTGAATTGGGTCTTAAGATCATGGCCTTCACAGGTATTTCTGCCTGCTTTCTGGAGATGGAACATTTTCAATTCGTGTCCCCCTTCCCCAGTGGCAATAGGTACCCATGTACTTCAGGCCGTGGGTTTGATGCCCATCCTTCTGCAGATGACATCTTGTTACTTTGGGACATAGCGGAGAGGTTCTGGGCAAACGTTCCGGGGGTCACCTCCTGTGCCTTCCCTCAACTGCAGCAGGATCCCAGCAGCAGCTCCCTTGCAGATGAAGTCACCCTTTGTCTACAGTGGGGACGGGGCGGATCAGGTCTGGGCCGATGTCAGCAGTGCTGTCCCCTCCTGCAGCACCAAGCGGGGAGGCTGTCTCTGGATTGTCCTCGATCTTCCCTGTGAGAATTCTGTGGGCTTCCTGGAGGAGACACTTTAAGTGCTTATGGTCCCAAGGGTTCACACTCTCCCGCTAGTCTATACTCAGCTCTTATGATTTTATTAACAAATTCTACTTGAATCTTGTGATCAACTGCTTGACATCTGTCCAAGGTGAGCAAACGCTCACATCCTGTTTCCTTCTGCAAGTGCCTGTCTGTCTCTAATGTTTGACTAATCACTTACCCTGCAACCTTACTTCTCCAACAGGCTCAGTGGGTTCACAGGCATTAAATTTCTTTTTCTTGGATAGTGTTAGAAAATCAGAGCTGTGCTACTACTAGCTCTCTACATCTCTGAGAACATGCAGGTCCTCTTTCCCATGTTTTTGGTATTTGCTTTACATTAAAATTCTATAAAAAACAGAAGAGAGGTAAATTTCAGATGACTTCCGCCCAAATTCCTATCATTTCTCTTTCCTATGTTTAATAGGGTTTATGTTCTTATTATTGAATTGTGTTATTTCTTTCACACCGGTCTTTTATGGACACCAGTCTTTTCTCTGCTACGTCTTTCTTAAATATTTCTCCTACTCTATGGCTTTCTTTCCATTTCTCTGAAAATTTTTCTATTTATTTTTTTATTATTGCAAAGAGCAGAAATTTTAATTTTGAAGAAGTGCCGTTTGTCCAATGTTTCTTTTATGATATTGCTTTTGGTGTCCTATACGAAAAATGTTTGTCTAACCCAAGAACATGAAGATTTTCTCCTATATTTTCAACTAGAATTTTTATTTTTAGGTTATACATTTATGCATATAATCCATTTTTAATTAGTTTGTATACACGCTATTTTGTACTGATTGAGTTTGTTGGTTCTTGTCGTGGTCGTTGTTGTTGCTTTACGCAGATTAACAATCGTTCCAATACCATTTGCTGAAAAGTGTACTCTCGTTTCTTTGGATTTTCTTGGCACCCTGTTAGAAATTAGATAACCATGTATGTGTGGCCTTACTTCTGGATTCTGTTTCTCTTATCCATGCAGCTTGGCTTTCACCCAAGCCCCACTGTCTTGATCATTGAGTTTTCATAGTAAGTGTTAAATCTCTTTTGAAAACTGACTTGGCAATGGTGTGTCATTTGTTTTCCTATATTTATTTTGCAACCAGTTTAGCGATTTATATGAAAAGTCCTCCTGCGATTTTCATTGTGATTACATTCAATCTACTTATCTGTCTGGGGAACGTTTGACATCTTGAATATATTAACTCTTCAAATCTATGAACATGGTATACCTCCCCATTTATTTACTCCTTCTTTGACTTCTTTCACTACAGTTTTATTGTGGTCATCACATGAATCTTTCATATTTTTGAATAAAGTTTCTGTAAGTATTATATAGGTAGTTGATATTGTGGTTCCTATGGTAATGGTACTTTTCTGAAAATTGCAAATTGTGAATTGCTAGGATATAAATGACGATTGGCCTTCATCTCACATCTATTTTACAGCTGTATAGTCCACCATTGTGTGCATGTGCCGTCATTTATTCATCAGGTTTCCTATGTCTGGATATTCATATAATTTGCAACATTTTGCAGTTACCCAATGAATATTTTTGTGTGTAGATTTTCATAGAGTTGAAATTGTGCCTTCACCGTGAATTTCTGATAGTGTTTTTGCTGGGTTGAAAAGTAAATGCACGTGAACTTTTGTTAGATATTCCCAAATTCCCCCACGGAATGGCTGTATTTGGCATCCTCACAGAAATGTATGAGTGCCTGTTATCTCCCACAGCTTCCTCCACACAGAATATTATCAAGCTTTGATTCTTGCCAGTCTCACGAGTGAGAAATGTTATCTCAATGTGGCTTTGATTGATCTTTATCTTCTTATAAGTGAAGTTGAGTAACTTTGTAGGTGTGTCAGAGCTATTTGTATATTTCTTTTCTGATTGTCTTTTCAGGTCTTTTGCCATTTTCCTGCAGATGTTTTCAATGTTTTAGTTCCACCTTTAAAATGTATTTTTATTTGGGGGAGTGTTGGTCATTACGTGTTCTACAGGTTGCAGATATTTCCTTAGAGTCTGTTATTTGTCCTTTGATTGAGCTTGCCCTACTTTTTGCCATCCAAACTTTGTTTTCATGTTCATGGAGTAAAAGGCATCGATATTTCTGTCATATCTTGAATTTTAGTTATAGTTACAGATTCATTCTCTTCCTCTTTCTTGCACGGGACAGGGTGTTAATTTTTTTTCTATACAGGATCGGATAACAAATAGTTTATTTGCGGTTTTGGCTGTAACGTCTCTGTCGTGATTCATCATATCTACCATTGTAGTTGAAAGCAGTCATAGACAGGAAATGAAAAGGCAGCGTTGTATTTCAGGAATGTCAGTGGCAGGTGTTGTGTTAGAAATGTCTGAAGGGAAAGTTTTCTATTTTCACTTCTTTCTAATATTTAAATAGAAAGAAGTTCATACCTTTTATTTCATATTTTGTTATAGTACTTTCAAACATGCCATAATCACCCATGTCAGCGATGTAATGCCTCAATATATTGAACACGAGGCATGCTCCAAGCACTTGTAAGAAGTATATGTATTAAATAATATGTATTATTTAAGTTACTCTCAACAGTTCCTTTAGGAAAACATAATTATATGTTCCATTTTCAAATGAGGAAAATGAATCAAAGATATGCTAAACAATTCATCCACAGTAAGACAATTAATGTGGGAAGGAGGGTGATGTAACAAAGGATGACTGAGGTAACACTGAGAAATAGAGAAACATAAAGTGATAATAAATGTCACTCCACTGTATAGCATTCTAGGGCAGCGACTGAAAAATGGGTTCTGCAGAGAACCAAATGGCAAACACGTTAGTGTCTGTGAGTCTCTGTTGAAACTATTCAACTCAGACATGTGGTGTAAAAACAGCTATGGACAATTTGAAGGCAGAGAGTGAAGGTTGTGTTTCATTAAAACGATCCTTGCAGAACTGGAAATTGGCCTGTCTCAGCCTGGTTTGCAGATGTCCTGCTCCATGGCAACTACTATCGTCATTATGGTTCATAACAGCTATTTTCTGTTTGTTTTATTTTCCCCCAGGGTGTCACAGAGTATTAATAATATCAGAGAAGAAAATATAAAGAGAAAACCATTTTAAGTGTCATATATAGGGTAATGTTTTAAATTGTTATCAAACCATCTCATTATTAAATGTAAAACCCAGTAAAATAATGACTGCAGTCATGTGAAAATAACGACTCCACCTCTGACCCTCCATCTTGATCAAGTCCTCTCCTGGGGCTATATGTCTTGGGCCCCTTGCAGCTTAAGATCAAAGCTTAGACATTCCTGCCAAGGCCAATTTGTGGGGAGCCTTGCTCTGGCCCTCCATATATTTATAAAGCTTATTTACATTGCTTTTTTTAAAAAAACATGTTTTTAACAGCTACATAATATATTGCCTCTTCAAAGGCAAATAATAAGGTGCTCCTATCCCTTGTGTTCATCACTACAGTGTTTCATGGTTGTGTATGTTGAAAAGGCAGCGTGGCTCTGTCTCCTAGATCAGTCCCCATGGGGACATTGCAATCCACTTCTGCACTGCTCTTTTGAGGATTAAATGAAAGAAACTGTATTTTGCGCAGATACTGTTAGAAGGTTAATCCCTCTTTTCATTCACTTTTTCCTGAAAGGGCTCATGTTGTGAACTGCATTCAAGGGTCTTCTCACTTCTGTTTCTGTAAACATGTTAGGGGACAGGTGAGGCCCTGTTGAGACCCAGGCCCAAAGGCTGCTCCCGCGGGGGACTTCGCACAGTCAGGAATCACGATGGAGAGAGTACGGGACCCAAGACCCTGAGTTGCCCCTGAGACGGTCCTGACACTGCTGTGGGAAGAATTCCTCTGCTTTCATAGCATTTCTGACCTTCATAGAACCACCTGATCCTCAGGATGAGAAACAGAGCATGAATGTATCGTCACTATCTCAGGGACTAGAGTTGAAGCTCAGGTGTGGTAATTATATGGTCAAATATCGAAGTTACCGAAACGACCAAAATTTTCTGAATAAGGGTTTAAGCTCAACATTTGACAGTGGACTCTAAGGAGGTGGGAGAGGGGGTTTTGTAATTTCCCACATTACATATGTGGATCCCTGCCTGTTGAAAACTCACAACCAGCCAGCTTCTAATCACAGAATCCAATTCTCAATCATTATTTTTAATTTTATTAGTTTGGGAA